AGGTGTTGTCAAATTTTCAGTGGAGAGTTTAATTTCCTGTAGTGTGTCCCTAAAAGCATCTAAACAAAATAGAGTCCCCTCCATGAGCCTGTGTCCCCTCCATGAGCCAAATAATATGCACACTTCCCTCTGCTCAAAATTGCATATGTGCCATATGTTCTTGAAGAGAAAGAAAACAAAGACACTATTCCCCAAGTCTTCAAAGTGTTCATTGTTCCAGCCATGACCATTCTTGCCTTGATCCTGGAAACTCTAACTTAGAGTTCTTCTAGTCCGACCTCTGCTCAAAGCAGGAATCCTTATACCATCCTGGGCAAATTGTCCAATTTTTTCTTGAAAATCTTCAATGATGAAGCATCCACAACTCCAGGCGGGCTGTTCCATTGATTAATCATTCTCACTGCCAGGAAATTCCTGTATTTCCAGACTGAATCTCCCTCTGACGAGCTTCTACCCATTGCTTCTTGGTCTCCTGCCCTCAGGTGCTATGGAGAATAGTCAACACCATCTTCCCTGTAACAGTTCTTCAAGTGTTGGAAGACTGCTATCATGTCTCTCTTGAGCCTGCTCTTCATTAGGCTAAACATATTTAGTTCCCTTAGCTGTTCATTATAGTATTTAAGCTCCAGACCCATCATCTTTGACACTGTATTCCAAGTATGGTCTCAGCAGTGCAGTATAAATCAGTATTATCACTTCCTATGATTTTGATACTTTCCCTTGTTGATGCAATGTAGAACTGCAGTAGCTTTTTTTTTTTGGCAGTGGCAGCACAGTACTGACTCATACTTAAGTCGTGATCCATCAGGACACCTCTCATTTATTTCTGTTGAACCAGATACCTCCTATCCTATACCTATGCATTTAGGCAAGTTTTTCCTGCCTAAATGCAGAACCTTATTTTTCTCATCACTGAGCTGTGTCTTGTTGGATAAGGCCCAATGTGCAATTCTGTCAAGATCCTTCTGAATCTTGAGTTTTATCTTCCAAAGTGTTGACAATTTCCCTCCAGTTTAGTGTCGTCAGCAAATTTGATGAATTCCCCCTCTATCTCCTCATCTAGATCACTTATGAAGTTGTTGAAAAGCACCGGGCCCAAATCAGAACTTTGAGGTACTCCACTGTGTGCGGAATTCCCTCCAGGTAGCTCCTTTGAGGACTACATGCTGAGTATGGTTGGTCAGTTCTACTCTACATTGTTCTATGTTACCAAGAAGTAGGCTGTGATCTATCATGTCAAATGCCTTACTGAAATCCCTGTATACTATATCCACAGCATTTCCCTGATCCACTTAAGTCACTTTATGAAAGAAAGCAATAAGGTTGATCTGGCATGATCTGTTTTTAACAATCCCATGTAATTGTTTCAGTAATCGTTCATTTCTACATACTCACAAATCCACTGCTTGATTATTTTTTTATTGATTTTCCCACTATAGTGTTCCTGGCTATTTCTTGTCTCTTACTTACTGAAATTTAATGTATTTATATTTTAAAAATTTATAAGGCCACCCAGCTCAAACAATGTAGAGGAGAAGATGCCACTGCTTTTGATGGCAGTGATATTCGTACATTGATTTTACAAGCAGTGTTTGTCCCACTGGCATGGACTCTTAATAGACCTGCTCATGTGGAAATGAAACCTGGTGGTGGCACATGGCATTGGATATTTGGTGAGAATGGAGAGTTGGATTTGGAGCAGGAAGTGCTTTTATCCCCAGGAGAGTGAAGGAATTCAACTGGATTAACAAACAGCTGTCAGGAAGAAAGCTGCCAAGCCAAGGATTTTAAAAGTGATCAGGCCTTGAACGTGCCTCAACAGCAGCCTTTGCTGGCTTCACCTAATGCATGCCAACACTGCAGGCACCAAAAGCAGGGCACTGGCTGGAAATGCATCTCTTAGTTAAACCATAAATAGAGCAAGAACTTCAGGGCTTGGAAGTCAGGCTGGTAGTAAAAGCAAATACTACGAGCAATAGCAGTATATTAGAATCTTTGCCACATCTCATCTCACTTCATTACAATTTCTATTTGAGTCTCAGTTTCTGATGCAAATATAGTCTCGCTTAGGTCATGATCATGCAACTCAGAAGGGGATGATAAAACTGGAGCTATTCTAACAAGCACATTTTATTCTAACCCAATTTCCTGAATTGAGGAGATTTAGTTTTAATCCTTTCTACTTCTTCAAGGATTATGTTCTGGCCGTGTTTATCTGTCTTTTCACTCAGAGGGCAGGCAAGACAGAGACACAGACTAGCTCCATGATCCTCAAACATTTTTGTGGTCTTCAAAGAAGAAATTTTGAGTTTTGTGTTCCTTTTATTTGTTTCCCTCAGAGAAGGAGGCAGCAATCATGATAAATTATGAATTAACAGCAACCATGTGATTAATATAATCGTAATATTGATCAAAATTATAGCAATGAAATAAGTAACAAAAATTGTGATGCAAATGCTGAAAAACATTTTAAGATAAATCAGAAAAATAAAAGATGCAAAAGAAAAGATGCCTATATCAAATCAGTCCAGTGGGCCACTTAAGCTTAGTAGTAGCAGTTATAATCATCACTAATCATTATATTAGGAACAGGAACAGAACCTGGGTCTTTTATATGCAGAGCAAGCACTATCTCTGAACTGCAGCCCTTCTATTTGTTATATTTTATATTGGATGTAATATCAAATGTCTGTACAGTACATGGGTGCAAGAGCAATGATGCATCAGTGGCAACAGACCTGGTGCCAATTGTTGACCAGGTAGCAGCAATAACATCTGTTTAGCTCCCTTTGGGCGAGAGACAATGCGGGAGGCAGTGGTCATTCTTAGTTCATTCTACCTTTAGTGGGGACTGAAGGGGGTGTTTATGCCTTTAGCTGCCCCACTGAAAGTGGGAGTGAACTAGGGAAGTACCACGGTATATATTGGGGTAGGGTCAACTGATTCTGGAGAAAAGAAACAAGAAATCTGGTTTACCAACTAGCTGGATAATGGTTTTGTTGGAGTGTTAGATGGGCCCTGGGAGAAAGAGGGCAGGGTGTCATTTCTCTATCTGTTCTGCCCCAGCTCTGGATTCCCGAGGATATTGACACACACCAACAGTCCTTATCAAATTTATTAAGTAGCAAGAATAAACCAAAATCAGGCAAAGGTTGGCAACCAGCCCAGAAAACAAGATACGATAAGACTTTTCCAAAAATGCTGTGATGATAATTACAAGTTGTTTCCAGCAAGAAACTTACTAACGGTGTGTGACTTAAAGGGAGTGGCCAATTATCCTCAAGCCTTACTCTCGAGGAGACCTCCTCCTCCTGAGTAGCCACTCCTGCCTTTTGGCAGCCCTGCGGGCTCGAGCATTGAGAAGATGCTCCTTCACTTCGCTCTCTCCACTTGAAGGAGCCTCTGGAGGTTCTGAAGGCCCTGGCTGAGTCTCTGCCTCTGGCACCACATCCTCTTCAGCCTCCTCGTTGTCCGACGCGAGTGCTGGTTGTGCAGGCTGCTGGCGTGACACCACACCAGCCTCCTCATCATTGGGATCAGCCACGATCTGCGCAGGCCACTGGCGGGCCACAACACTACCTCTATTCTGCTATTTTTCCACAAGTTGGGATCTCTAGGGATAACTTTGATAGCCAACATATTGTGGCCCATATCCCATCAACCAAATACTAACCTGGTTTATTCCAAAATGTGCCATAATTATTCTCACAGACTATATTTGCAATGAGATTTTTGCCAACACATAGTATGCTTACTTATTTCCAAAGATACCATTTTCCAGCACTATTTTATATCAGAAATACAGGGCTTACTAGTTTTATCATCTGTTTTGTATCAAAAATATGCCTCGACTGCCAGTTTTCTCAAAAGTTCCCGTCTGCTTCTTTAGCCTTTGGCTTCCCAACATCTTCTGCAGTGGTGCCTTCAGATTTCTGCCTTCATGCCCACCTACCTGCCTTTTATGACATCATAGTAGCTCGAATGTTTGAAAGAACTTCAAAGGCTGACTTTCTTTCAGAGTTGCTGTGAAATTTTTACTATCAAATTAGTAAAACTAAATAATTTATTTCCTATCTCATTTATATTTCTACAACCATCATCACAAGAAGAGCTCAGTACTATATTATAATTTATTAACATTTTCCTATATGATTTCATTGTAAATATTAATTTTATCATTTGCCAACAACTGCATTACAATCTCTGATTCAGCATTAATGTCAAGCCCTCAAGAAAAAATTATCAGGCAAGAAGAAAGAAATCAAATCTCAATAAGAATGTTAGTCATTGCATAAGTGATAGATGGGAATTCATTGTGGAAGTTCGATTACTCAGCCTTCAATCTTGAAATCAAATGGATAAATTGACCCTTTTTTTTCTTTGCGTAAAGATATATAATTTCCTTCTTTTCTTTCTTTCTTTTTTTTTACAGTAAGAAGACCCTATGTGTAACTTCATGAACATCAACAGTTAGGGAATATATATTCCAAGTCACCAGTGTCAAAATATTTCCCAAAGAGATCTGGTGATCTTTGCCCATATATGACTTGTTTATATAAATACACAGAAAATTTCTGTAAGATATATTTAGCTCGTGTATTGTAACTTGCTCATTACTTCTTTGCTTCTTAATGATGCTTCTGCTAGTGAGCTTGACTAGACTCTTCTTATTATTTTACGTCTGAAATGAAGGGATTCTATTAAAAGATGATCTAAACGAAGCGAACCATTTAGGAAATTCCTCACAGACATCTGATTAGAGCTATCATATATTGCTAAGTGTTTCCAGGATCAAATGCTTTATACTTAGTGTATTTAGATGGGTATGTGCTCAATGCAAATCTCATCTGAGACTTAAATGGCTTTCTCAGAGTTAATTTTGTAGCTCCCATTTCATTAATTAGATTATTTTTAAGTTGTGCTCAAATCTTTCCGATTTAGCATTTAGAAAGGAAGTGTGGTACCTGAGCAGCTTTCATGCAATTTCTTTTTTTAAACAGGAGGAGAGGACTTCTCCAGAGGTGCTCAATGACTTGTTGAGGAACAATGCATGATCTACATTCATCAAGGTAGTAAGTTTCTTTGTAGATTCCCAAGATTCAAAAATGGATTAGGATGGAGGGTGGATGGGTGGATGAATGGATGGATGGATGGGTGTGCTTTTTTAAAAAAAATAAGGATATATCATTAGGGTACTTCATTTAGTGGTTCTCTGAATTGTGACCAAGAATTTGAAGGTCATCTAGTCTAACTCATAGGATAAACAATTCTGCTCTGGTCTTGTTTTAAATATTTTAAATAATGCTGCTCTCAAGTGGCATAGAAGATTCATGCCATCTTAAAAAAAGGAAACCATTCTAACTAGGCCTTGTTGCTTCAGAACAGATGACTGTTTCCCATTTGGAAGGGAGAGAGAAATATAACAGCTATTACACACACAGCATCACTCAGCCTGAAAAAAGCAAGGAATTTCTGAACCTATCATTGACCTTTCACTTCCAACCCTCCCAGCCGCCATATTAGTGCGCTCCCACCAAAATACCAGCTTGTGTTTACAGTCTGATTTCTCCTGATGGTGAATGGGCGCATACTCACGAGCACTCGCTCTATGTGCACTCAATGGGATCATGATCTGGAGAGCTGAAAATGTAAACACAAGCTGGTATTATGGTGTAACTAGCGGTTTATGGAGCTTTGTTTGAATATTTAAAAATGGGCACACTGGGCAGAACAAAAGGAGGCAAAAGCTGTGCTGCTACACAGAGGAAACTTGGAAAGCTCCTGATATTCCTTCACAATTCAAGTCTGGAATGTGGGGGATGGGTAGGGAGAGAGGCAGAGAGACAACTCAAATGTGCCCCCCTACTTTCTATTGTCAACTGAACTGATAACACCATTCCTTTTTAAAATGGGGTGGTGTTATTAACACTTCCTTTTCTTTTTCCACTTTCTCAAATATTGTATATTATAGAAAGTTCACAGCTAGCAGACACTGAGCTAAGAGCAGCAAATTTGGTAGGGCTCTTTTCGGAAGGGAACAGAAACAGGGCTGTGGGCCAATATGAGTGAAAGAACCCGTAAAATCAGGTAATACACTCTCAAAGCTAAGTAGGGTTCATCTTATTTGCTATCATAGCTCAGAACATTGGCACAGATACATTAGCACTGGAAGAAGAGCTCTGAGATTCCAAACTTCGTGAGAATGGGAGACATCTTCTTCATGGACCACCTGAAGAGCAGCCAAGATGGAAATTTCCATGGGTGAGGAAAAGAAGAACATCAAGGAACATCCTTGGCTGCAGGGGAATGTTCTCGACAATGTTCTCGATGACTAATGAACCTTCTCCAGAAGCTCAGTTCAGCTCTAGAAATTTCAGCTTCCTTCTCACACACTACTATGAAGGGACATACTACTTCCTGGTATGTATCAATAACTATAAATATATATAATACCTCATGTCTCCAAACTGGTTAATTGTGTGATATAAAAAAGTGATTTTTTTTTAAAAAAAGTAGCTCCACAGACTGGTGAGGACTTTTAAAGTAATCTGATCTAGTCTGACTTGCTTGTCCAGTGTGGTTATTGGGATATAGCATTTAATTTATTTAGTAAATTAGGAAGACCTGGCTTGCTATCCCGAATTACTTTTGAAATTTCCTGGGTATCTTTGGGCCAATCATCCAAGCTTTCACTCCCAAAATCTGCTCAAGGCTGTTGTGAGGATATAAGAGGGAAGAAGAAATGATGTAGACCATCTTAAACTCTTTGGATGAAATACAAGTGTAGGACTTCAATTGAGACATAAGTACTCAATAGTAAAAATCTAAGCATAAATGGTCAAGAGTAAAATTTCTTAAGAGGAAATAAATATGCCCTTGATTGTGTTATCAGGTAGTCACACTTAAACCAACTGAAATCTAGGGAATTACATTTTCGTATTAATTTTAATGGTACGATCATCTTCAGATGGATTTTACTCAGTTCAACTCCCTAATCCTTAATAACTAGACTTCTTTTAGTTCAGGTTTATTAACCTAAAATGCTGTTAGATGTTGGTCAAGAATATTTAACAGTTTTATCTTGGGTTTTAGAATACAATGAAGTTTTGAACTGACACCTGTCTGCAGTCTTTGCCTTTTGACTATTGCACTCACATATTTCTTGTAAACTGAAGAAATTTCCATGCAGTGAGTTTTATATAAGTGTAAACCCCAATTAATATAAATTGCATGACAATTACTGTGGCACCTGCTGTTCAAACTCAGAAAAACTAGTGTACTAGTTAAATTACTGTTTTAATCAACGTAGCAGTTAGCTTGGTATATCTTATTATGAAATGCCTATTGAACTTCTGCGTGACATGGTGGTTGGAGTTAAGACATAACGGTACTAAAAATGCTTCCAATCAGAAAGTGGTTTAACTCTCATTTCTCCATGAAGTTTTCTTGGTAGCATTAGAATTGTTTTTTTCCAGAATGATTTGCTAAATTCCCAGCCTAGCCAATAGCCCTGGAATTCTTCCATAGTCCCTCATCTAATCTAGTGAAAAGAGTGGCAGAATCTGGGGGCAGGGTCAAAAGAGGGATCAGCCTAGAAGCTCTACGTAGGCACAAGCAAGCTAAGTCCAGCCCCCCCTTGAATTCCGTTGACACATATCTAACTCCTAGCAGGTGGTAACTGTTAGTTGAGAATATTCCTGTGCATAGGCATGAGTAGCAATAAATCAGTTTAATTGGACCTTTCATGCCTGACATCCAGCTGATTTCTAGGCCAAACCTTGCTTAGCTTTCAAGTTCAGCTAAGACCAACAATGACCAAGACCAACCCAATCAAAATTGACCTTTGAAAATATTGTTAAGATACTTTACGTAAGTAATAAAATGCAAACTACAATGCAATAAAGAAACAGAAAAGCTTAATAAAAATGAATGATATATGTTGAAACAGTAATCAAACACATATTTATCTGAAACTTTAAAAATCTGGGAAACAATTAGAAATACATTTTCACTTGGATTAATAGAAAGGTAATGTGAATGCCAAGGAATCTATTCGGCTATGAACTGTAGACAATTCCTATAATTCTTTTTTAGCAGGCAGGAAATGATGAAATTGGACTTGATGATTAAACTACTGTAATTTATAATTTTAGTACGGCCATTGCAGTGTTGTAGAACGAAAGGACTATAAGGATGAAAAGAAAGAGAGACTTTAAAAAATGAGAAATGAAGAATGGGAAAATGATCTGATTCATATTTATCATTTAACTACATAATTAGACTTAAAACCCAGTATCAACGTATATTGGTGCTGTTGCGATACTTGGTTCAATCAAATCCCATTTTAATCCATTCCCACTAAGGGAAAAATGTGAGTCCTTGTCCCTACAAAATGCTATTTTCAGTAGGCTATTCCACAACTTCCAGGATTATATTAATCATATTTGCCCACTGAGATGAAAGACTGAATGTCAGCTCCCAAATACTCATTCTAAATTGGCTTGCATAGCAGGAATAGAAAACACAATTTTAATTCAGTTCAGGGGGCTTTGTTTGTTTGCTTTATGGCTTCCCCAGCAGCAAAGAAGAGCAAATATAATACCATTATATAAATCCATGCCACCTTCATGCTTGCAATACTGTGTACAATAATAACTCACTCCAATTTTTTTAAAAAAAGAATTTTATTAAGGCATTTTGTTATAATTTAAAAAGCAAAAATTAATATACAATAATTTTTCTATCATGGTGTAACATCACCAAAATATCCATATATGTATACATACATGCATACATACATGCATACATACATACATACATACATACATACATATATATACACCAAAAATCAGAGAGTAAAATTAGAAAATATTTGCAGATTCTTATCACTCCAATTTTTATTTCCTTAAGAAATTTAAATGATGCCTTTCATGGAAACTTCGAATACTTACATTAAAAAAGAAAAGAAAAACAAAAAGCTTAAAAAAAAAAATAATGTAGTAAATCAGAAAAGAAAAACTCCAGAAGGGAAAAATACCATAAATCAAATCTCTGTTCCCTCTAGATAAATTAATAGTGGTTGTTGAGGGAGGAAAGTATTGTAAGCTACTCTATATTAAGCAAGCCAGTAAAACTATTTCCACTTTTTACCTCACTTTGGAATAGTTGTAGAGCAACTCTGTGGCCCTCATGATGGAGAGCAGGCCACGTTCAATAAAGCCCAGTTAAAAGAAGCTATCACCAGTCTTAGTACAACATGTGAACTACAAACATTATTCCTGAGTTCACATGCTATATTCAGCCATAATGCAGTTGGTTTGATTCTGACTTGACTCACAGAGTGAATCCAACCATTGTGATTAATGCATCATGGAGTATGCTTTAGCACATAATACAAGTCAAATAAATTCTACATTAATCATTAATCTACAATTCTATATTAATCAATGGTTTAGAGCTGTGATGGCGAACGTATGGCATGTGTGCCACTTGTGGCACGCGGAGCCATATTGGTGGGCACGCGAGCTCAGCTCTGGCGTGCATGCATGTGCTGGCCAGCTGATTTTTGGGCCTTTTGGGCCTACCGGAAGTCAGGAAAAAGGCTGTTTCCGGCCTCCGAAGGGCTTCTGGGGAGGTGGGGAAGGCTGTTTTTGCCTTCCCCAGCTCCTAGAAAGGCTCTGTAGCCTGGGGAGAGCAAAAAACGGGCCAAAAGTGGGGGGGGGAGTGCGGGGGGGGGTCGCGTGCACATGTGCGGGGGGCATAGAATTATGGGTGTGGGCATGTGTGTGAGCGACCCCCCCCCTGCACTCCCCCCACTTTTGGCACACGATGGCAAAAAGGTTAGCCATCACTGGTTTAAAGGAATGAGCAAACTGAACTACTTTCCTGTGTCTTACTTTTGCAGGTACTTTCTCTAACTTCTACAGCAGGGATCTTCAAACTTGGTGACTTTAAGACTTGTGGACTTCAACTCCCAGAATCCTTCAGCCAGACAGCTTCCAATTGTGCCAGTTGAAATTTTTAAAGTTGCCAAGTTTGGAGACCGCTGTTCTACAGTATTGGTTGTCTACCCCCCCGTTCAGCTGAATAAAGGAGAAGGGAGTGAAGCGGGGAAGTAACTGAGTAATCAATCAATGGGGTGATGGGAGGCAAGAAGAAGGAAAGTTTGGTGGGATCTATTGGAAAGGTTCTCCCCTCTCTCAAATGGAAAAATCCAGAGATGAAGCAGAAAGATGAGTTTGCAGCACTGCTGGTATTCTGACCCACGTAAAAAGCTACATATGATAAAGGGACTAGTCCCTTGTGTGGAGAACAAACACAAAACCTCTTTGGCAGTTCGAATAGACACATCCCTATCCCAATGTATTTGTGTTTTCGTGTCTTTTGCTAGCTGATTGCGCTTAAAAAAACGAATGGGCTTTTTCTGAAGTACGGTACATTTATTATGCAAGGTTTATGTAACACAAAGGATGCTGATTAAAAAAAAAACCTCTGCAGGGAGCTATTTTTTCCTCACCTTCAACAGAGATTTGCACTGGATTTGTTACAAGGGAGTTTTAAGATTCTGGCCTCCCAGATTCAAAATTGTGTGCGGCTTTCCTGTTTTTGTTGTTTCTTTCCTCTGCTCCTCACAGCATAATTTTAAAACATTATTTATGACACGTTCAGTCGCTTGCACAGGCTGCCCAAGTGTAACTGCCATGATAAGGTAGAACATCTTGCCTCGTAATACATTATTCTATGTACAAACCTTTACAAAGACAGCTTGTGAGCATTTCACAAATTATAATAATGGAACCACCTACATGTATAGCCGTGTTGACAGATCTACATCATCTTATTTTCACCTGCAGTAAGTTCACACTCAGCTGCTACAGGAATATGCATGCCTCTCCTCTAAGAATGTTCTGAGAATATATGCATGCGTGCTGTTTCATACAAATATTGAACAGCAATGGCTCGATAAAAGTCTATTAGTTGTGACGAATTTCAAAGAGCATAGGAATGTAACTCTCGCCCCATCATCCCTGCATTCACACAAAGCAGGAAAACTCTAAAAACAGCTGGGCCACTTAGGTATTCAGCCATTGCTTTTATACCAGATGGACATTGCTTCATCCTTAGACAGCAGAAGACTTGCAGTGCTTAAGCAGTTTTGAAGAATTGCACAAGCTGGCATTTTCTATGGGTTTCTGTAACTGAAATGCAACCTTACTTGTGGGTTACCTATATTATGCAACAACTGATTGCAGGGCTGGTAAGGGATGTGGGCAAGCTGAGTTGTGGGAGGCGCAGAATCAACATATTAGACATGACTTCCAACAATGATGGTGGGACTGCCCTGCATTTTGTCGGAACCTTTTTTTTACTTTTTTTTAGCTTTTTTTTTTTTACTACCTATTGCCCGAACCAGTAGTAAAAAAATGCTTTAAAAAAGTTTTTAAAAAGTTCAGACAATCAGCTGTGC